TGGCAGTACCTACTATATAACTATGAATTCAGTTGTGTTTCGGAAATCAGTGTAATGAAACGCGTTTTCGGCATTTCATGAACTACTCATACCTCCATGAAACACGTTTTATCTACTTCGCCGATTTTACTGTGTTTATTGGATAGCAAATAAATTGCGTTTCAATTGTGATACAAGATCTAACGCAAGAAAAAACACAGATTGCGTTCACACGCGTTTTAAAATAGGAATTTAAACGCGTTTGTATACGTTTGCTCTGATTAACGCTAGCAAACTCGTCGAAGTTCTTTAAACGCCTTTATCTGCGTTATTATCATAACTCGATACCGAAACGCATCAGGACGCCAACATTTGCAACATAAACGCATCTAAGTGCGTCTAAAATGCGTTTCGTGATTACATGGGCACATTGGTGTAAAATTGGATGCGTTCATGGAAATTCCGGATAGTGCCAATCAAATCCTTAAGACGTTTTTCCCTAAAGCGAAAATTAAAAGATCAAACAGTGCTCATTCGGCATGGAAAATATTCATCTTATTTTAGATTCAGTATGTTTTTCTCTCTCTTAATGCTTGTCATAACTATAACAATGACGGCTGGGGAAATGGCATCGTTGTTTAGTTCCGATCGTTTGCTTGGTCTCGAAGAGATTGAGTCAGGATTCGATGTGACGAATATGGCTTCGCGAGCTCAATCGGAATCTCGATTTCGAATATTTGATTTGAGCGAGACTGGTTCAAATAAATTCAAAGTTTCTGTGCAAGGACGAGAACGTATTTTCAATACTCCACTTAGTGTACAGGTTAACGGTATCAATAGACGCCGTGATATGAATTGTGAAGATTTGTCGAGTGACTATACACACTTCTATTCAAAGTACGTATTATTTTTCTGGTCATATTCTAACGAGAAAAATCTTGTCTTTGTTTGTTACGCAGTTATTTCCGATCGACAAGAAGCACCTCGACGTGGTCTGCTTTCATAGTTGGCGGAAGTACTAGCCGTCATGATACCTTACGAAAAATAGAGGAGGCCATTAATAAACAGTCCAAAACGGTTGCTACATCAACTTCTTGGTTGGGCCTTTATTCTATTCAACTGGGACCATCTTTCCTTCTCAAGTAAGTTATTTTTTCTTCCTACCGCTCGGATGAACTTCCCCGATAAGCTCTCTTGGTGCACTGCATCAATTCTGAATTTGTTGTTTGAAAATAAGTTTGATGCTTCAGAAAAGTACTGTTCCAATCAGAACTGAAAAACCCTCTGCTGCTCAAACTGTTTAGGATGTTGGTATGGGTCCAACACTCACATCCCAAATTTATACTAATTTCATCAGCTTGACTCAAAAATTTCTATAAACACGCGGATAATCTTCTGATCTCCTGACAGAATGTTTTATTTTTGTAATAACTAGTCAAAATTCCTGATGTGCCAACCTTTGTTCCCCGTTATGACCTATTATGCATAGGATGAAATTTCTCGCAGCAATAAAAATTGAAATCTGCATACTTCGGCGTACTTCAATGTTATACAAAATATATCACTTATAAATGCTCAGCTTAACCATATGTAATGGAAAGTACAGCTTTCTCGGATTTTCCCTCGAATTCTCAAACTGAATGTAAAACCTTCCTCATGTTTAACAAACATATATTGGAATTGCATAGAGATTGTATTGAAAACTTTCTCTTCACTATTGAATAGTAAAAGTGATAAGAAACGATAATAGAAATATAATAAATTATCTTGATTCTATGGTAACATGTTTTTTCGATAGGAAAAGCTGATACGAAAGTGATTTAGTGAAACACATTAGGTGTCTGTTCGTGCATATCCATTTAATCGATAAATTCTACTGTATCTTAATGAATAGAAACAATCACGCACATCGGTACAATTTATTTTGATAGGCAAAAAGCACCTGTGTTCAGTTTTTGCAAAAATTCAATTGATCGTTCGCCATTATGCGTTGTAAGATTCATACTTGCTATGATTATTTTCACATCACATATTTTAAAATTCACGTTGTTTTTATTTCTGTAGCCTAATATGTACATACAAATAAAAAAATGTTTTTGAACTATTCATATTTACCTCCCAAAGTTGAAAACAGAATTTTTATGTATGTTTGCCATACTTGTTCGATAGCAATTTATTCTGACAAGGTTTGTACCGCTTCTCATTGCCAAAGTTTTTGCATCGAAACTTCCAAGAATTTTTATGTGAAAACTTATTCAAAACATATACTGTTGCGTACATATTGTTGAGCTCTTTGTAGAAGGCGTAAATTCGTCGGCATCGTTTTAATCAACTTAACGCTATTGATAATTTTACTGCTAAATACACTTTCAAAATATTGAATCATGAGAAATGATTCATATGAACACACCGGTACATTCAGAATATAGAACGCGAAAACGTTATGATTTTCAGTAGCACAAGTCTAGTCATTTTTCGGAGTCATTCTTTTCTGCGTTTACAGATTTGATCCTTTGTTCAATGCAAGCATGTCTGCTATTATCAACCAACAGCATGCCGCCCGAACTGAATCAGAACAAGCCCTTTACAATATGATCTTAGAAACATTTGGCACTCATTATGTGACATATGTGATCATTGGTGCCACCGCACACATCTTCACTTTAATAAACGATGCTTACGCTAAGTCATCGTCATTTCAAGAAACTACGTCAGAAGTCATCAGTAGGAGCCATTTTTTTTTTAGCTCTTCATATTCAGTGGACTATTCGCACCAAATTCAGACGAGCGTTAGCGAATCATTTCGAAAAAACTCTCAATTTTTTGTTGAATATAAACCACCTGCAGTATTGGTGCCTGGTAAAACCGAATGGCAGTAAGTAGATATTTTTGTCTTACTGATACATATTCAATTTGTATGCTTATTATAAAGTTATGAAAAATCATTCGTAAACAGTTGTTTCTCCCATATTTCATCTAAACAAAATATGAATCCTACAAATTAATTAGCTTCAATAAAATAGACGAAAACATGAGATACGCAAACGTTAAATTTTATTAATTTTCATCCTAAAACTCAAAATTTGACGAGATGAATCGATGAAAGTATCGTGAGTTTTTTTTGGGATTCTATGTATCTATTTGATCGAATTGAATGGATCAATGCTGCTAATTGTTTCCAAATCTATGTAAGTAATCGACTAGACATGAGAGATTCAGTGGAAATTTACTCTCTGGATGAAAACGAACCTAGGCAGAATATCTACACACTGTTTCATCAAGAATGTTTTGCGTGTAATAGAAACCAATGGGACAGAGAAGAACCTTATGAAACATACACAAGACTTTCTCAAAAAATATCGATGGGTACGACAGCAATTCTGTCATAGCATATATGTTTTTGTGTATAAGACAATCAGACAATTCATTCTCTTCTTTTGTTTCTAGATCTTGGATAGGCAGTGCTGTTTTAGCTCCAGTTGTTGTTAATCGTACACTTGCACCTTTGTCTAATCTATTCTTTGAATATCCAGACATTCAAGCTCATTTAGAACGTACAGCAAACCACTACTTGAACCATGGAAAATATCCAATGATTGCTGAACTCAATGGATAGGATAGAATTGATCATGTGCTATTTGCAGCTTTTCCTCTGATGGCTTACATTTTTCTTAGATCTCCTTTTGATTTAACAACGGTGCTTATTGGTAACTTTTGATCTATCTCCGAATATTTCCTTCTTGCTACTAATCTCATGATACTTTTGTTCAATAAACTATTAGTTGACTTTCAGTTCTTGACATCTTTAATAATTCTCCTTTTATTATTCATTTGTGTATACGAAATACTTAAATATAATTGTATATGTATACATTTACCACTATTCAACTGCAGGAAAATTTTAGTGTAATAACTGCACTGTTGTTCTTACCAAAACTGACCATGCAGAATTACTATGAATATTTGTACAGTTTAATTCCATGTATAGGGGAGTTTCTGTCTAATTTTTCAATGCCATTCTTAGGCGGTATGTGTACACGTTGAAGTGACTTGTTGTACTAGAATTTTTATTTTAATGTTGAAATCATCCTTAGTTTTGAGTTTATAATCTTTAAAGTGAATGCATGAGGTACACCGATGACAGTAGAAAATGAAATTAAACTGTTCAGACTAATTATAATGACCAACTTTCGAGACATGAATGTCTTCTAATTGTTTGTGATGTATCAGAAGAATTTAATACGTATCCGAGAGTTAGTTTTTCTTTTTTCTACATTCACACTCACATTCTTAAGATTAAGGTGGCATGATAGCAAATGTCTCTCGAAGAAAAGAAAAAAAAATCATGAATCCGATGGAACCGATAATACATATTCGTATGTTAATATATTGATAGAAACATTTGGATAATGATGAGCGATACCAATAAAACTTGTTCAATTTTAGTCGATAATACAGAAAGGTTGGATATTGTTGAATTGCCAGGATGTTGTGTAGTTGGTAGATCCGAGGTTGTCGGACAATTGAGATCTGACGTCCAGTCGTCACTACCGACACAGTGTCTACAAACAAGTAGTCCAAGCGGATCAATTTTATCTTTGATAGTTTTTAGTTGATTGTAAATTGTTTGTGAACCATAAAAGTTCTCTTGCCAATTAACTTCATTCGGGTCAGCTTCGTTAGAGTAGCAACTAGGCTGTGAACCAGTCGATAGTTGATCTAAAATTTCTGCTCGATGTGTAACTTGTTTAGCTAAATATTGTTGAATGTCTTCAGGTGTTGTATCTAACCAACCCTGCGAATATACCATATGAAGGAGAGCAGTACGCCATGCTGGGTTAATGCTGTTATTTGTGTTTGATATATTTGATACTGCTCCACCGGCTACAATATGTCCAAGAAGACTCGATCCGGTACTGGATTGACCTCGTGCTTGGGCAAATACTTCAGCGACTTTTTCTGGCGAATTACGAACCGTACTTTCCCGAATGAGACGTGAACTGAGTAGAACATTGAATCCAGTAGGATTGGATTGTTCCAGTATGATTGCAAAATAATCATAAAATGATTGAAGAGGAAACATTAGTGTCTTCCCAAAATCCAAATCAGAATTTTTAATGGCAAAGTCAGTTAATGTGACATTGACTGCTGTTAAATTTCCGTTAGGTACATGAAATACGCCGGTCAATTTCATATCGAGCATGGTGAAATAACCAGACCAACCGGCATCAGCCACTGTTGAAACCAATCGAATGAAATCTTCTGTCAAGCTTTTGTATCGAGCTTCATTTGGTGTAGTTACATCAAATGTAGCAACAACGATACTTGGAGAAGGGAATGTTCTTAGTACAACCGAGAGTACTACGGCAAAAGTGCCACCGCCGCCACCATTCAACGCCCAAAATAAGTCGCCATTCTGACATTCACTTACTGTTTGACGTTGTCCATCTACAGTAACGACATCGTATTCGAGTACTTGATCAGCTGCCATGCCTTTCCAACGTGATAGGGGACTGTGACCACCACCTTGCACGTAACCACCAGTCACTCCTACAGATCCAGCTGCTCCACCGATGGCTGTCAAATTGAATTCATTCAACCATCGATAAACTTCACCCCATTGCACACCTGCATCTATTCGAGCAGCATTCAGTACAGTAGTATGACCACAAGATGAATATTGTTCAATCAGTGTCATAGTTTTCATATGATGAAGCCATAGAAGTAAAGATCCGGTAGCTGTTGATCTACCTAAATAATCGTGTCCCGTACTTTTGATAACTAAACGAAGATTATTCGAAGCAGCAAAACGAATCGTTGTCTGAACATGTTCGGGTAGTGTTGCATCGACAGCAAATACAGCTACAGAACCTTGATTACATGTCGTGCTATTGTATGAAACTGAACATGAACTATTTTCCCAATTATGATTTTGCATTGCACCTGTTTGATCACTACGCCACGTTGCATTATACCACTGTGCTTTAGCTAAAGTACATGCTTCTGCATCATATGTTTTTCCATTGCATACAGCAGCCGATGGTTCGGGTAAAAGAAGACGTCCGCCAACTGTTTTATTGAATGCTTCCCATGCTAAAGCATTTGGCCAACACGATGAATTGTTCGCAAGACAACGACAACGACGTTCTTCAAATAGAATAATGTAATGCAAGCATTCCATATTAGAAGATTGACCTACCGCACATTGCGAATTGTTGATATAGGATGACTAACATGAAATAGACGATTATACACACGTTACGAATCGACATATTGTAGAGAGTTTTAGTTATTTAACTAAATGTCTTCGTAAGTATCCGTAAGGCATACATATATATACAGAGCATTGCTTGCCTCTATATTGACTCAGCATATCTTGATATTCAAGATACCGTATTGATGTATGCTTCACGCGACGTAATTGTTATCTTGAGATATGCAAATAAGTGGTTTGCTTTTGATTACAATCAGGACGTCAAGAAATCAACGAAAAATAATGTTAAATCAATAGAATTATTCATTTATCTTGACAACGAATATCTACTAAAGCAAACGCTTACAATATTAATGGAGAATTTTCAATACGACTTCCCCACCATAAATTTCAGAAGGATGTATCAAAAAATATACTACATTATAGAAAAACAAATCGTTTTCATTCAGCTATAGAATCGAGTCAATTTCGTTTGAAATTATTATCGATAAATTCAACTAATCAAACTTTGAATAATAAGTTGATAACTTGGTAAAAATAGTAAAATCCAAAATCCAGGTTTTCCAGAATGATACATGGTTCTAATCGTACCAGTTGATATAAATCATATCCATCAAAAACATTATTCAAGCGAAATGACTAAGAAAGAATCGACATTCATGTTCATATTCATATTGATATTGATATTAGCAATATAGATAATTTCTTTTATTTGATCTGATTATTATTATTATTATAAGCAAACATGATAGCTAAACTTGATCAACTCAAGAGTATTACAATGGGGAAAATGGCACTTCGTCTCACCTCTTTTTTACCAACGCCGGTAAAATAATTTGTTTACGATCTCCTAACATGGAAAAAAGGGCATGGTGTTCGGAGCAGAGCTCGTAAATGAATTACAACAAAAATACTGGGTGTTCGGAATAAACCCTGTGCAGTAGTTCGGAATCAATTCTGACAATAGCCTTTCGATATAACCATTGAAAAAGCTATTTTCAGAATTGATTTCTAACTCAATGTAAATTTTTCTCTTTACGAACATCACAATTTGGTTGGAGATCGTAAACAGAACGTCCAGATGTTCGCAAGGACAAAGACATGGAAACCGTAATAAAAAAAGCACGACACGATTTTCGCAAGTATGTTCAGGTTTTGTGTCTCTACGAGAAAATATGAAGTGATACACTATAGCCGCAAACTAAAATCACGTATAGTCAACGTTTCAGTGTATTCAAGCAACTACGATTGCACTTCTGTTTACTATAATAACTCTAGTGTTAATGTACATTAGCATTCTATATATTCTTCGAGGAATGTACATGTTTTTTGAATCTGACTATTTGTTTATTTTTCGATGTTGAAGCAATGAGATCAGATTGAGATGATGATGTGCAAAATAAAGACGAAGCAGTAGTAGTATTATCGCTAGGTCTAACTCTAAAACGATTCAATATTGGAGTTGAACGTAAATAAGATTTAGGAGCAGCTTGCTCCGTTGTTGCCTTCGACAACTGTTGGTTTTTAATCAACTTATATCCTTAGAAACAAGATAATGCGACGTTAGCGTCGCCAGCCCTCTACTGAAAGGATTTAGTCATGTAGAACGTAGCTATGCAAAACTATCTAGCTGAGAGACTTGACATTTTATAGCTTTGAAATGACTTTCATGGAAAAAACGGTTGATAACCGAGCATAAATAGAAAGTTTGCTTCGAAGTGTACCCAAGAAAATGGGATTTAAGTAGTACTTACCAATACTATATGGCGATAGTGAAATTAAACGCATCCGATATGCTACAGCTCAAGCTATGCTCCGAAAACTTTCGATCAGCTTGATAACGGAGTGAAGAAAAAGACCCAGTCAAGAGAAATATGATCGAAATGCTTCATTTTAGTAAAGTAACAACTCAAGTTGGTCTATGGACTAGATATTTAACACGAATCTGCACGAGTAGATCATAGATTAAATCAAACTGACTTTTTTTTAACTCGATTTCGGTTAGATTCGTCCTCATTTTTTCCAAATCCATCTGGGTTCATTTTGTTTCGGTGCGTTTTCTATCTCGAATGCATATATTCATTCCCAGGTACACGTTCACAGACAGAAAACTCGAATATTTACATCTTTTGAATCAAATTCTCTCGCAATCAGGAAAAACTAAGCTTATTAAGATAATCACGACAGATAAAATTTGAAATATTTCACGCGAGTAGGACAATTATTTCACGACCTTCCTTCGGAACAACCTGAAGGTTTCTACCACTTTCGAAAATTGTTTTAAGTTTTCTGATCGAGACATCGTGTAACTATTCTATAAGTCTACAAGGTCTGTAGTCTTAATCAAAACAAATATTTAACTGAGCGACTAATCGCCTCCAATCGTTTTGCTTCATATATGTGGTGAGCGTAGCCCTTTTAAATACTGTATGATTGATTGAAACCTTCGCTTCATTATATAATTATTAGATGAAAGCAAAGAGAATTTTCAAGAAAATCGAAAACAACAATTGTGAGACTAATTTAATTCAGTTTCATCTACATATGCGATAAATTCGTCACACTTTTGAGAAGAATAAGACAAGATTCCGGAGTACTTATACAGTTTGCGAACGTTCGTAGATGCGCTAGTCTAGAATTATAGGTGTTAAGTTTGAATAAATTCTTCGTGCTACAATAAAATTTGGCATATCAAGTAAAAACTGAAGACTTCGAAAAAAGCCTTCAACATCTTAGGGTCTATACACAAAATACAGACATGTAGTTATGTTCAACTGTTTGGTGAAAAAGGACTTTCGTGCAGCATTTTCCAAAACCATGTTTGGTTAAATGATAAATTTTTCTTAAGCAATAAAACAACGACAAAGGCAGGTGAACTGCTAGTCGTTCATCAGCGTCCCTCCTGGGCGCCATTCACAGCTAGTCGTTGCCAAATTGAGAATCAATTTCACCGCAAGATGGCTAGAGTCTATTCCCAATAAGATCTCATATAAACATACGATACATCTACAACTATAAATATCATTGAATGGTACCCTTAAAAAGTTTCCCTACAAAGAATCCCTATCACAAAAATCGGACAATTATAACAGCTCCTAATGCATTATAAACCTGCTTGAACTATGAAATGTCATTAAGCATTTAATATTCAATTCAGTGACAGCCGTTATCTTATTTGCATCAACTTTATTTATTTATTTAGGATCATAACCACTAATAATGTCTTTATGCTACTCCTAAATGCTTTCCAAATACCTCTCACTCGTCAGTTGCTAGTGACTTAGTTTTACTTTTTCAAAAAGCTCATGTGTTCATTCTTTGCAGTAGACCTCTGTGCAACCGTCTTTGTTCATTAAAACACTCAGAAAATTCCTTTGAAAAACTACACTTGAAGTCGAATAAATGCGCCCCAAAAACTGTTGGTCAAATCTTATGAGTAACAATTATTTCCCCAAAAAAAGATTTTTTTACTAAAAAAATTGAGGATTAAAACTTTCTGAAATTCTGACCCCCAGATTCGAGTTCCCCGACCCCGATTGCCTTCAGTCAACTCTTAGAAAAAAATCTATTTTTTTTCTAAAAAACTCCTTCTCTCTCCTAAAAAAAGTAAAAAACAAAATTTCAAAAAGCTGACGCCGGATTCGGATTTTCCGATCCCAAAAACTGTCAGACAAACGTTTTAACGCATTTTGATGAAGGAGATCAAAAAAACATTTTTTTATTCTGTGCGAACGAACGAACGAACGCATTTAACTCGTTTTTAGCAATACCCTCCTTTCAGTAGAGGGAACAACTTCTCAGACTATAGAACAAGGAGGGCAGGTAAAGAAAAAATAATCGTCTACTTATATAATCATGGATATAATCAAAAATGCTACCTACTATTGTCTATACGAGCAGAAAATCTTTATATCAATTACAATATCCTTATAAATTCTTTTACGGACTCCACATTTAAGTACTCTAAGAATTTCCTCCCGAATTACCGACAGTGTTTATTACGATCTCTAGGTGTTAATTAAATATAACAAAAATACTCTATTCCGAACACCCAGTAAGTACATCATGATCTCCGGTACATAACGGCTTGTCCACGTAACGCGCTACTTCAGTGATGAGGTTTTGATTTCGATATTCGAAATGAACCTTTATGCCACGTTGTAGAGCATACACGAAAGCGTAAGAAAGTGTATTTTATTAATCAAAAAATTATCGTTGTTAGTTTTTAAAAATGAATGTATGATGTGTTCATAACTGCATGGTCAATTG